AAATATTGATCATCGGAGTCCATTTAATTAATTTCATAAAATAATTGTTCACATGATATGATTCGTGAGTGAAATTCCAACTATATATATAGTCTAAATCGTCGGAAAGCTTGATCAAACCGTGTTTGGGATCTAACGAAGTAATAGAACTCCCCAGTGAGTTTAAGGGAAAAGAAAAAAAATTATGATGGAGTCCAAAAGAGGTCTTCGAAAAGGAAACTTCTCGACCAACGCAAACTCAAACGGGGCAGTTAGCGCTTGGATCTCTTCTTTAAAGATCCAAAGAGCAGGAATACCACAATGGGTAGTTTGTTTAAGATTTGAAAAAACTTTTAAAGACTCAAATCTAGCCAAGGCCTCCTTAAAGGACTTGGACTAGTTCTTTGAAGCAAAAAACCAGGATCATAACATTTAAGAAAACAATTGGGCATTCTAGCAGTAGATGTTTCCAGAGGAAGCATCACAGCTCACACAAAGTCTCAAGAAAGAAAATTGAATCACATAGAATAAAAACCTAAATGTAAAATATGGTTAAAAAATAGGCAGAAGAGAAAGGATAAGGAAACTTCCCTTGGATGAATGAAGAGGCAGAAGCCCAAGCAGAGCAATTAATCCCTCAATCTATGGCCGAAATCATTAGAGAATTGATTGCATGAGTAAAGATAGGGGCGGCTAGGGCGAAACCCTAGCAGAGCACGAGAGCAAGAGAAGAGGCTAGAAAATTGAAAATTCTTTCTTTAGCTACTCAAATCAAATTACTTTTGGATGAATTAACCAATATTCTTTTTGGTGGTTAGCAATCTCCCTTAAGCTTTATGAGGAGTAAAAAATTAGTTTGCAATGAAACAAAAGAACAAAACTAACAAATTTAATGATGATTTAATCTTTTTTTTATTACTGCTTTACATTTTTATTAATAGTTTTTTTTTTTAATGCTGGTGCTGTTTCTTTTCCAGATTAAAAAAAAAATCCGTATGCTTAACAGTATACAGTAAAATGCTTCAACATGTTACATATATACACTTAAGTTATCAAACCAAATGATAGAAATGTGAATAATTCAAAAGTATAGAATAATAAGCATTCTTCTCAGGGAATATAACCCAAACTTATGAAGCTTGCATTATTGCACATGGCTGACAGCAAGCAAAGATGCTGCTTTACCAGTCCTAACTGCTCCTTTCACTTCACGTCTGTACACTACTTGTTAAGCTAGCTCTTCTCAGGCTTCGTCTGTGATAAGTTTTTTTTTCTGCTTTCTAAAATAACATTTTAATACAAAAATTTCTTGAATTAAAAATTTTTATACTAAAAAACTGATTTAGAAAACAATACGAAAGTTGTACCAAACGAAATCTTATACTTCGTTTGGGACAGCATTTTTACTGTTTTCTACAGCAGTTTTGTAAGTTTGATTCATGATAAATCATAAGAGATTTACATACATACCACACAATTTTTATATATTTACATATCTAATACCTAAAATTTGATATTTGCTTTTTACATGCAAAATACCTCTAACATTAACTTTTCTAACAATAAATACATCTTTTCATGTTTATACTTTGATGTGATTATTACACTAAATTGTTATCAAAATGTAGATGTTAAATATATAAATACATAAAACTTGAGAGATAAATATGTAAATGCTGCATTATTTACCTCATATCAGTTCTATAATGTTTGCACTGTAATAAAAGATAAAGTTAAATTACATGACAGCAGGGAAGGAAAACATTTCATGTTTTATATGAAATGTCTCAGTTCACATATTTTTTAATAATTTATTTTTTGGCTGTATAGTTGAGATTATTGTAATCATTCAACTTGCCCATGTGTTTCTCTTTTGGTTTCCAAGCTGTCAGCATGCCTTAGCCAAAAATCACAGCATCTTCAAGCAGCACTCATGAAGCTTTCTGGTAGGTTCCATTGCTTCAATGGATTTAGAATTCATTTGAGATGATTTTTTTATTGCATTTTTAAAGTAACTTTTAATATAAAAAATTAAATTTTGTATTGAAAATTATTTAAAAAACAGTAAAAAAATTATCCCAAATATGAGAATCCTTTAATAATGTGCAATATTATTAGTTTTGTATTTTTATGAGAAAAAAAGAGCGATGATAATGTGTTCTTTTTGTTGTATGTGAATTATAAAAAATTATATGATTTGAATTTGAATTACATATAATACAAAAATGATAAAAATATTTGTAGTAAAATATATTAAAAATAATAAAATATATAATTAGTGTAATTTATGAAGATATTATTATGAAATTTATGATAACATTATAGAAAATATTAACATATGTCATATGTTTACATATAATATAAAACAATTTTCTATGTCAATTAGTAATTTTTTATTTGGATTTAATGATACTTTGGATTTCATCATTCATAATTAAGGGGCTAAAATGACTTGACATTGATATTTTGTGTCACAATCAAGCTGATAATGGTCACTATTCCCACATAAATTTATCAGCTGAAAAAAAAATAATAATTATGTGAATATTTTCAAATAAAAAAGGTAAAATGTAAATAAAAAAATAATAAAAAAAGATTAAATACCATTTGTACTAATTTATTTTAGATTAAAATGCTTTGCATTTTCAAGTCACTTATCTCAATATAGTTACTCCTAAGATTAATACATATTGTCATTAATTATATTATAATTTGGAATTATGTTTAAGTAGCTAGAATCATGGGAAGAAAGCATTAGAGAAGGTGGTAGGGGACCAAGCACTAAAAGCTGAATGCTTCACACAAAGATCTCTCATCTCTCAAGTGGGTCTCCTATAGCTTTGTCCCCACTCATCTATAATGCTCATACCTACCCTTCTCTTTATTCATTGTGAAGCCAATTTGAGCCTTAGACTTAAAGCTGCAATTAGGACTCTATGAGTAGCTATATATATGAAATAAAAACAGTTCAATTATCTACTTAAATATGGGCATCAATGGAGATATCTAAAAAGCAAGAACATTCAAATTTCTCTGATGTTTTTGAGTCATATATTTATGGGATTTTCACTTAGAAATAGATAAATTAGAGTGTTACACTATTACATGGTGTAATGCTTAAGTTTTTGTGGAAATAGTTGTAGTGCTAACATGATAAAAAATGGATCTTTTGCAAACTGTTATGAGCATTATAATTTTTTGAATTAACTTTATTACAACAGTCACACTTTAACTAGGGCTTCCAAAATCGGGTCACGGGTCGGATTCGAGTCGAACCCGGAACTAACTTGAAATCAGTTGAGCCAAACTGAACCCGTCCTTTTTTTTGCAAACGCATTAGGTATTTCAACCCAGACCCAACCCGTGTGGGTTACCGAATTGACCCTACCCAAGCCATGGACACGTTTTGAAGCCACAGGCGACGACGCAGGTGGGGTGAGTCGACAACTGCACAGCAAGGGCGTCAGAGTTAGCTCGGCACATGCAACGGCACAAACATCGTTGGAACATCATTGAAGTAGGCGTTGAATCGGTGCATGGGACGGCAAGGAAGCGACGGGATGGACTTGCGAGCCAGTGAGGCAACGAAGGGATGACGAGTCAGCAAGGCAACAACAGGACGTCATCACATGAATCAACAATGCGGCCGGGATGGATGTGACTCACATGCATTTTTCCAAACGGGTTAAACTAAGTTGAGTTTGCATTTCCCGGTCAACTCGAACCCGACGTACCCATTTTGAAATCAGGTCGGGACTAACCCGAAAATTTTGAATCGGATTCGAGTTGGATTTTCTTATCATGTCAAATATTCACACCCCTAACTTTAACAAATCTAGTTATATCGCAATTTTTTTTTTGAAAAAAAATAAATAAGCAGTACTAAAAAAATAGGGGTATACTGACCCTGAAGATGAATAAATTACGACAAACACATCAAAGAATTAGAACTGTAATGCCTCACCAGCATATGCCAATTATTAATTGATAACTTGCGTATATAGAAAAATTTTAAAGAATATTTTATTCTTAATCTTTAAGATAATATATATAGTACATTTGTAATTAAGTTGTTTGAATAAGATAGTTAGCAAAAGGAGACATATAGTAATTTATACTCTTTAAATAGTCATAGATAGGAATACTACCTATGTATAATTTATTAAACATGGCAAGAAATTTTTATAATTAGCATGTATTTTGGAGAAAGTATTTATTCATAAAATTTGAATCTCCTTTAATAATGCTTTTCAATTATTATGTTTTAAAAATGATGTATTATAGTTCTTATTAAAAAAAAAAAAAATCTTTCTACTTAGACTATTTTTTTAAGAGAACAAGAGTATCTACCGCTTCCACCTCCAAAGGAGGGCAAATTATTGCATCAGGTCACCTGACGCAGAGATATGTTCGGATATTAATAAAATATTATTTTAAATAAAGCGCAGGTAAAGCGCAAGTAAAACACAAGTAAAGTGCATGTAAAGCGCAAGTCAAAAGCGCAAGTAAAGTACAAGTAAAGCGCAGGTAAAGCGCAACTAAAGCGCAAGTCAAAAGCGCAGGTGACGCGGCAAATTTTTATTGGATGTCCAAACTTATTTTGGCGTTAGGTGACCTGATGCAATATTTTGCCGCAAAGGAGACACATGATGACATAATTAATTCTTTGGTGGGCTTACTAGCAACGAACCCCACAGATGCAGGCATGGGCGGATCCCCATGGCAGTCCCTCAAAAATTTAATTTTTTTTAATTTTAGAGGGTATATTTTGAAATATTTTGAGTATTTTGGGTATTCCCCCCCCCCCGGAAAAAAACTTTTTGCCCTAATTTTATCAATTCTAAGCATCTTTGTCTATCTCTCATAATTTTTTTTGACCATCCTAAAGAAAGAAGCTAGATCCGCCCTGCATGCAGGATCACACGGTTATTTCCTTCCCATTTAAAAAATGGTGTCGCATGATAAAAGAATCAATTATGAATTAGAGATTCACAACCACACTCCCCGGCAACTCAGCTAAGCCCTGAGCTTTTACTTTAGTAAAAGGGTAGCTCTCCATCCACTTACAGACTAAATCAGCCTCATCCTCTATTCCATTCCCATTTCACCTCCCCTTCCTCACCTGCGTTTTGTTTAAGAGCACCTTTGCATATTCTTTGTGATTAAGATCGCAAAAACGTAACTTTAATTGCAATTTCGGGGCAGAAGCGGTTTCTGCTCACTGATTGCTCGCGCAAGGAGCCCCCTTTTTCTTCTCTTATCCTCCTTTCTGTCTCATGGTGGTATCCGATGAAAGCTCCAATTATACTGACATGGGCTTGCTTGTTTTCTTCTCATTTGGCATCTCCTGGTGCTTGTTCTTGCTGAATGCGCTTGCTTTGTACTCTGCTTGTTTGTTTGATGCGTGTTTGGGCGAGAGGGTTTTGCCAATAATTTAGAATGGAGAGGAGAGAAAGCGATCTTGTTCGATGTGTACTTCGCTGTTTGGTTTTTTATTTAGGGATTTGCGGGATTGCAGGTGAGAAAATCTATCTAAAAGTGCTTCTTTGATGTTTCTGTTTCTGTATTCTTCTTCTTGTTGTTCTTCTTCTTCTTGCAGCAATACCAGATTCATCTTGTGATCTGTAGCCTAAGTTTCTTTTTTCTTTTAGCTGCAGTATGAGTTATTTTCTCTTCGATGTTTTGCAAGCACTGGTTGATTATATATTGTTTTTGTTTGATAATATAGCCTTGTTCAGCTTTTACTTGGTGTTTTTTTGCTTAAAAATTTATTTTTTCATGATAAATGGCTTATTGTTCTTTCTACTTGATATATATGAGCGCAAAGATTTGCTATGAATGGATGATTTAGGTTATGGCTTGTTGTTCTTCTTGATGATGCTTTCTTCACCTGTTTGATTATTACCATCTCTTCATTGTATTTTGTTGCTTCTAGTGAAGTTAATTATATGTAATGCATCAAAGAAAATAGTTCTTAAGAGATGATCCTTCTTCTATCTTATAGATTGTTGACATTCCGTTCCTTGTGTTCAGAGTGTACAAGCACCCTTTGTTTTTTTGGATCTTCTCCACTTATGCTTACCACTGCCTCTTACTACCCCAGTTAACATTCCAATATTTTTACCACATATTTCAGTGTATGTGGCATGTATGCCATTGCCTCAAATTAGGCTTCGTTTGGGACGACTTTCTTATTGCTTCTTAAATTTTTTTACTAGAATATTGTTTTAAGAAGCAGTAAGAAGACTTTCTTATTGCTTCTTAAATTTTTTGTACTAGAACATTGTTTTAAGAAGCAGTAAGAAAGCCGTCCCAAACGAAACCTTGAGACGGCTTTTTTGTTGCTTCTTAAAGAAGTTTTTTAGTACATAAATTAAAATTTTTATACTAGAAAGCTGCATTAAGAAGCAACAAAAAAGTTGTCCCAAACGAAGCCTTAGTTTATTTTGGAGCTTCCTAGACTGCCCTTATGAAAAGTAGGAAGCTTCAAATTTAGCAAGTTGCCATGACTGCTTTAGTAGTGCTGTAGTGGAATGCCTAAATCCACTGCAAAAGCGCCTTCCTAGAAGGGAAGCATGATGTGCCATACATAAACACAAAAGGAAGTGATTAAGCATAGTGGCACCAAGCTTTATTTGGTTTGATTTGAATAAAACCTACATCCATGAAAGAACAGAAAACATCTTATCTATTATCAAAGAATCCACAAAACTCTTAGAACCCAAGCTGGTGCACTTGTTAATGCTGAAATCCTTCAGTCAGTCACATTCATGATAGACTCTAAATGGAGTGAGAAACCCCAGAGAAAAGGGTATGACTTGGAAGCCTTCAAGATTGTCTAATCATACTCAATATGAGAGAATCCCTTATATAACGGAAACTATACGAACACTTGGTTCCTCATTTCTCTTAAGGAATGCTTCTACATACGAACCAATGTAAAGGAAAAAATGCAAGGAGCTGATGAGAGGGATTTTTTGATCCCAGACATGATTTCCAGTAATGATTAGTGAGTATGGAATCAAAAGGGATCAAAATTGGCCTTTGTCAGCGGTCAAACTCATTTTTCAATCCAAAAGCTGAAGCTATATATGAGGGTCAACTCTTTAGTATTTCAACAACATTATATTTTTCGATTTTTTGATATAGGATCAATCGATTACTCTAATGTGCTTAAACAATATATCCCTTATGTGAGAGCTCTCAACATTATAGCCATCGTTTCCTCACAATATGAAGAATTTCAACATCAAGTATCATACATCGTAAGCTCCTACTTAACCACTTGGTGATGCCATGGATGTCACCCACTCTTGAATTTAATGAACCATGGTGGAAGGTAACCAAGATACATGGGAGCCACAAACCACATGAGTCATTCGGTCTCAATCAAACCCAGCTGTAATACTATTTTATTAGGGAGGAGTATAGAATCATAGGGAACCATAGCTGGCATTGATGCATTAGTTGTAAAGCCCATTATCAATCCAACATCTTAAGTTTATGGATGAGGGCCTATCTCTTAGTATTTTAATATCAATATATTTTTTAACTTTTTGTTATTGTATTAACCAAAAACTCTCATGTGTGTTAATGATAGCCTTCATGTGGATCAATGCAAGCTTGTTGCATATAGTCAGTCCAATCTCCTATTGATTGAATAAGGGAATATTGAGTATTTATATCATATGTAATGCTTCTTAAGATCCAGTGTAATGTATGTTTCATCGAACATCAAAACAGTATTTCCAATAAAATAGTTCTCTCATTTATTTAATATTGTGATAAAAATTGGATCTCGTTTGTGGCTCAATTCTAAGTCAAGTATTCTAAGCTCCTAAAGCATCGCAGGATTTAACACTACTTTAACAATCATAGATGGTCTAAAAAATGTCAAGAGACCTCCAAAGCACTTCTGCTGCATATCAAGATGGATCCATCAATACTAAAAGTACCTCTAAAGTGGTCGTCTCCTCATCCTGTATGCTATAATGGCATTACCTAGCACTGGATAAACTGGACAGCTTAGAATTGATCTATTTGGTCAACACCTGAAGTTCACCGACTATATCATGCCTTATTTTCTTTCTTGAAAAGTGCATGTAGCATTCATTAAAGCAAGAAAAGAAAAGGTACAAAAGAGTACAAACTAATAGTTCTGGAACCATTTCTATAACTAGGAAGCTAAACTTTTTTGCTTTTCTAAAGTGAGCACTTCCTCAAAACCCCACCATTCTCTCATTGTTTACTCTTAAGACTTCTATAAAATATGATTGGATTGTCAAAAGAATTTTAGTTCTCTATATCTCATTAACTTCATTCAAAATTTTCAATTTTAAACTTCATGTCATAATAGTACAATAAACTCTAATATTAATTTATTGTATTGGAGCATGTAAATTGATTATAGAATCGTTTTCTTAAGAGTGAAATATGACGTGCCACAAAGAAACACAAAAGAGAGTGATCTAGTAAATAGAGAATATTGAAATCATGATTAATGTTGGTTGGATTGAACACATCATACATCTATAGTGAAGAGAGGATCTAATTTATCATCAAAGAAGCCGCAAATTTAATGTACATAATACAAGGACAATCACCATCCCTTCTGAAATCCCAAGTGCACCCTATCTCAAGAATGAAGAAGCGCAAAAGAACTCCCTAAGAAAAGATTACCTCTTACCAATATACCATCACCAAGATTATGATGGCCAAGCCCTAGCTGATGCTACTCAGTGCTAAAATCCTACAACCTCCATCAAGAAAGAATCCAAATCAAAATATTTGCACTCCTCTAAACCTTGTTGGAGAATGTTTGTCTTACTTTTTCAATAGCTTATGAACCTTAATTGACAGGCTATTGTAGAAGCCTTCAAGCTTAGCTTGCCAAATCCTAGCCAAAAGAATCCCTCATATAGCAACAACCTTAAAACTCTTGTTTTTTTTTTATGTTGTCCAATGAATACTTCTGTACCCAAACCTATGCAAGACAAACAAGCTGGCATCACCGGAACCAAGAAATGGGTTGTAGATTCCAGCTGCGATTTCCAATAGTCTTCCTATGGAACCAAGAAATGGGTTGTAGATTCCAGCTGCGATTTCCAATAGTCTTCCTATGGATTGAGGCAAGCCTGCTACAATCTAGTCTTTTTATTTTTTATGTGATGAAATAAGGGAATGTTGTAGGTATTTAAATCTTTGCAATGTTTTTTCATATCAAGTGCAATACATCTTGTTTATCGTTCAAACAAATTATCTGTCTACCTCATATGTAAAATTCAGCAACATAAGTGCATATGCGTTGATAACCCTCTTTGTTTATTTTAATAAAGAATATGATTAATAAATTTAGTCCATTTCCAAGTACTCTCTTGCGGATCCATGAAACAACTCTCAGAAATCTTTTTCCCGTAAATATCCCATTCCAAAAAGAGAAAGTTCGAAACAATTGGGACTTTTTCGTAGATTGGATCTATATGCATCAGGATCCCGATTCATGGATCTCTCAGTTCCAGAAATAAGAGGATCAAACCATTTCTTCTGACTCTTTTTCAAATTCGATAAATGACCCGTATCAATAATTATGATCTTACATATGGACAATTCCTCAATATCTTGTCCATTCGCAACAAAATCTTTTCGTGGCTCATTTTGTACCAGAGAAACCCATACTGTATTTTCGTAAGGTGATACACACTAGCTAAAAATCCGCCTGGTCCTACATCATAGGCACACTGGGAGCGTAAATAATTGTAACCATATACATATGAAATGACAGCAATGGAATCCCAATCCTCGGTTTTTATTTGTAAAGTCTTCTTTTCCGCTCGCCTGGAAGGGACAAAAGAAACATCTTGTTTTTTCTTCAACAATTTAGGATCTCTAGTGGACCTCTCAGTAGGATTTGTTCTTTCTTTTGGATTTTTATTTCATTTCGATTTTCTTTTCCTTTTTGGAAGATACAGGAGCGAAACAATCAACCTAATTCTATTGGAAGACCAAAAAGATTCTTCCAATGTTTGAAACTTTAGCGTGGGCTCATGAACGGACACCTTTGGCTAATTTGATTAGCTGGAAAGCCCGAGCCATCAGTGAGATACCACTCTGGAAGAGCTAGAATTCTATTCTATTCACTCGTGGGATCCTGGCGGTTCCGGGGGAGGGGGGGGACCCCCACGGCTCCTCTCTTCTCGAGAATCCATACACCCCTTATCAGTGTATGGACAGCTATCTCTGAAATTGAGATATTTGCACCCTGTCGAACTTGATTTATTGTATTTATTTATTGTATGTTGCTACTCTTATATGTAGTATGTGTGATAGATTGAACTTGATTAGTTTGACGAAAATATACGCTACCATAATACATGGTTGTTCTCTAAGAGACAAGAAATTATATGTTTGTTCAAAATCTAATGCAAGTTAAAAAGCATGCTCAAGTAGTGGAATTAGGTGAGGTGTCATCTCTCTTGATATCATGTCTCAAACTAATCCTAAATTTAAAGAGTGCATTTT